ATGCAAAATGTATAAAGTTATGTGTTTCTCTCGAAGGGCAGTTCAACCAGCTGTTTATTCAATATGAAATTATAATCTAGAGTAGGTATTCAATTTCGTCGATCTTGGTATCACAATGGATTCCAAACTCAATTTCAACCTTCATATTAATGTTATAGTCAATAAATCCAAAGGCGTTTTTGCATTTGTAAAGCGATCCTTATGCTACAAAAGCTCTTTTTACCACTTTTGTTAGACCTATACTAGAATACGGATCTATTGTTTGGAATCCCCGCTATCAAGTTCATTCGGAAAGGATTGAATAAATTCAAAAACAATTCTTGTCTTTTGCATTGCGTGATTTTAAATAAGATTCAGACTACAATCTCCCCCCCCCTGCAATAGTCATCTAAAGCTCATACATTTTCCTACACTCGCAAGTCGTAGAGAAATGCCAGGTATAATATATATTGTAAACTTAATGACAAGCTTGATTAATAGCCCGGCCCTTCTGGCTGAGGTAAATTTTAGTGTTTAGTGTCAAGACACTTTCCGACCTCTGTTTTTAAAGCCATGCAAAACTAATTTTGAACTAAACGAATCATTCCCTTTGTTAGCAGAGAGATTTACTCTGCACTGAGTCCGCAAATCTTCGTCGATTTTAAAACAAGCAATTTGTAGAAATCCAGGAATATTTTATTTCACAAATGCAGACAGTTATTAGAGAGTTTAAATTCCTAAATGGGATTAAAAATTCACTTATTAATAGAAAATATAATTCATAGAATTTCAGTAATAGTATACATACTTTTTTAATGAAGAAAGGCGGACAATTTCACCTTAGGCTTTAGATAACTTGATCTCGGTCACTGTTGGAATCGCAATAATTAACCCTAAAAATTCGCATGTGGTTGTACTTTAGTAAATGGATCTAATAGTAACACCCCCCTTCAGTATGACGAGAAGGATTCGTGGGCTTGCTTCTTTTCGCCAGCCACTTCTATTACTGCTAACTTTACGGCTGCTCTTTCAAAAACTCTGCTGGGCGGTTTGTATAGTAGCACTGCGAACCTGGCCATCCGAAACGGTTTTTGTTTCTAACACTCTACCTCGGAGCCAAACATACCTTGCGGAACCAGGGTCGACAACCACAACCAAATCTCCTTCCCGACTCGGCCTCTTTCTGTCATGCCATTTTGTGCGGCAAGTCAATCTGGGCAAGCATTCTTTGACCCACCGCTGCCAGAAATGCTGCGCATATTGTTGAGTTGTGAGCCAAGAGTGACGTAAAATAGTGTGGTGGTCGTCAAAGGTGGCAAAAGGTTTCATGTCATTGGAGCTTCCTAATAAGAAGTGGTTAGGTGTTAAAGCTTCTTCTTGTTCACTGCCTATGGGCATATATGTTAACGGCCGAGGGCTAATGATATCTTTCACTTGTGCCATCATACAGTGCAACAGGACCATCAACTCGGTGCGCGTGCCGGAGTAATTTTATAAAAATATGGCTTTGTATGAGCAAACATGTGAGGTGCTGCCGGCGTAATGAATTTCCTTGATGTCGTCGCGGTTGTGAAATTACGAACTAAAAAATCTTTGTTAACAGCAGCCAAGTTCACGTAGTTCTCGTTCGGCGCCAACCAAATTGGTACCATTATCACTATAGAATGCTTTAGGCGTGCCCCGACGAGAGGTGAAACTTCTTATTGCTAAAATGCAAGAGCTCGACGTCAGAGAGTGGACAATTTCGACGTGAACAGCTCTGATTGTCAGACGCGTAAACTAGGCGCAGTATATATTTTCTTTATGACGTCCTACCGAAATGTAAATAGGCCCAAAAAAGTCTTCGCCTGTAAAAGTGAAAGCAGCGACGTATGGAGTGGTCCACGCTCGTGGCAATTTCGCCATTTGCGGGGCTGCGGGTACAGCTATTAGAAGTTTTGATTGATGGGAAGTATTGCCGCAATTCATTTATCACCGTTTCATTATTCAGATGGTGGAATTTCGAGTGGTAATATGGAACAACTAAGGCTGAGATTTTACTATTTTTTGGAAGAATTATCGGGTTCTGTCGTGGCCCCGGTGCGTCGGCTGTTTTGCTATCCACCCTTAAACGCCATCGTCATCAATAAATGCTCTTAACTTATATAGTAGAGATGTTTTCCGTAATGGTTTTTGAGCTTTGGGATGCATTATTTCTTCTGAAAATGTTTGAGCTGTGCCTGTCGGTATAACAATGATTCCGATTGATAAAGCTCGTCTTGCTGCAACTCTCCTAAAAGCATTGGTTGGTTCAACAGGCTTCTCTAACAGTTATGAGTATATCGTAAAACGTAAGACACTAATCTCCACAGGCGACACCATTTCAAGAATCGATTAACATTTTGGAGCGTTTTAATTTCAGATATTTGAAGAACATGTTTCTTTAACTCAGTACTCGTGGTTTCGATATTGGGTTTTTCTTGTGGTCAATCATCTTCGGGGCGAGTAAGAAACTCCGGACCATTGAACCAACGGTGTGATGAAGAAAGCTCGAATTTCTTATATTGTTTGGTGGCTTCGTCCGTAACGTTATTTTTTGACACGATCCATCTCCATTGCGAAATATCGCTAGACCCCAAAATTTTACCTACGCTATGAACAGATGGTAGCGCTTATTGTCTGAGTACAGCCAGCTTAGCACAGTTTTTGCGTCACACCAAAACAACTTTCGGTTTATCTTAATTGATAGCGAATCCATTACGAATTTTAAGAACCGAACACCAATTACAGAGGCCATCAGCTCTAGTCTGCGAATTAAAATTTGTTTTAAAGGCGCTACTCTAGCCTTTGAAATTATAAGAGTACACTCGGCGACGCTGTTTTTTGATACACGTAGATAACATACTGCAGCGTAAGCGCTATCGCTTCCATCGACAAACGTTTGCAGTTGAACATCAGCCCCTTATAATTGACGTGATACTTTAAGTAGCAACGAGAAATTTTTGATGGTCTGTAAAATAGCCAGATACTTTAACCATTGAAACCACTCTTCGGCTAGGCCAGGAGCAATTTCTTTATCCCAGTTAATGAACTACGCAAACGGCTTGTAATAATATTTTTCCAACAACTAAACTGTTTTTTATTAGGCCAAGATGATCATAAATGGACATAACGATGCTTAGCATTTCGCGCTTCGTTGGCGCTTTGTTTCCATAAAAAATTTATTTATGACAAAATAAAGGTGAAAGTCTAAATATAATTACGTCCTCATTCGGAACCCAAAATACGCCTAGTACCTTTTCTGTGGTATTACCACCACTGATATTAATCTTAAGCTCAAATGCTGATTCGCCCAAAGCGTTCAAAACTTCTGGACAATTTTAACACCATTTCCGAATGTTGAATCCGCCAGCCTTATGAGTACGTTGCACGTCTTTCGCCAGCGTGATATCGTCATCTTTGTCGTCAACAGAATCGAGATATACCTTGTTTATACAACGCATTTATTCGTGTTACCTTAAGTCGTTTAATTTTGATACGGACGTGTAAACGTACACGTAACACGTATCGAGACTTTTTAGCGTGTCGCCGAAATCCGCATTTCAAATGCGAGTTAAGAACCTCTGAACCGTGTTAAATGTCCGTATAAACACGATCTACGGCAAAACGTTTTTGAACAGCTGTTTTACAAGGTTGCCAAGGTAAGATTTCTTCGCAATAATAATTTGGAAAAGCTTTTAAATTATTTAGGGGATTTCCGTAAGCGAAAAATGGAAAACACGAAAATTTCGGAAGTTTTCGCGGCTGTTTTAGGAAATGCACCTTTTTGCAGCCTTGTAAACAGAAATTTGAAAGTTTAGTAAAAGCCCATCTACATACATACAACTTTCGCGTTGCGTTCGCTTCCGCCTCGTTTTGACAGCTGCTAGTGCTTTCTACATGAACGCTTGCCAGCGAATGCTTTAGCCAATAAATTAACATAATAACGACAGATAAATTGATATTTGATATTAGTAATTGCGCTAAAAACGATATTTATTTCCCGCATTTGATTAAAAAGGAAAAATATTTCACATAATTTTAATTATTTGCAACAGCTGACGAACGACGCAAGCGTAAAGTTGAGAGTTAACCATCTTTCTGCTTTGTGCCGGCGTTAGCGTCGCCAAGTTTTAGCTATGGGACGGTTTCATTGAATTCATGTATTTATAGTCCGCTGTCAACGCCAAATATATGATTTGTAATAATAATTAATTTCACTGCATTTAAAGTTTTAGAGGCGGCGTTTCAAGGCGAATTTATACAAGGTGGTGTTGTTAGATTAGCTGGTCTCTTCGCCTTACATGTATTTTGTTTTTGATTTTACTGATTCGAGAGCACACCCATCAAAAGCACAAACAAAATACATTTAAACTTTGGGGCGAGTTGAGATTTGACATAACACCCGTGATACAAAATAAATTGGATTGTTTTATTTGCTCAACCGCTACCGCTATAAATTCGCCTTCATTTTTGCTTTTGCTTCGCTTTGAGAATTTTGATTTTCATTCGGTCTGATTTGCTTTTGTTGTGACTTTGCAAATAATTTATTGCTTTCGATTTGCTGTGGTTGTGCTTTTGCTGTACCAAGGCGAATTTATTCAAGGTGGTAGCAAGAATACAAAAACAACCATTCCATATATTTTGTATTACGGGTGTTATGTAGAATCTCAATTCGTCCCAAAGTTTACGTGGATTTTGTTTGTGATTTTGATGGGTGTGCTGTCAAATAAAAAGCAAAAACAAAATTCATGTGAGGAGAATAATTCAGCTGATACAACACCACAATTTAAAAATTCGCCTTGAACACCACCTTGTATGAATTCGCCGTGCTTGTATAAATTCGCCTTGTTTGGTGTATTCTCATTTTTCTTTTTTCCTTGCTGCGTCCATAAAACATACATATCATCAGTATATCAAACCAACTGCGCTGTAAGCAAAAGCAAATGATTTCGTGTTATGCACAAAATAAACCACACATACATATATTTGCGCAAATACCAATTAGTACAAACAGGAATCGAATAACAATCTTATTTGTACTAATTTGTATTTGCGCAAATATTCGTGTGGTATATTTTGCGCATTACTAAAACTACCGCAACTATTTGGTTTTAAAAAATTAAGTAGGCAGCTCTGGTCAAAAAGTGACATTTGTTTACTTTTAACAGCGCGTAACTTTTCGGTTTGCCAAAAGTATAATAAAATTGATTGAAAAATGGAAATAATCAAAAAGCGGGATACTTGGAGTGACCGGGAAATTCGAGAAATGTTGCATATTATAAATGAAAAGCATATAATGCAACTAATCGATAACAAAACTAAACGCAACAAGAGTATATTTCAAGACATTGCAAATGAGTTGAAAAATAAAAATGTTGTGAAAAGCGATGTACAAATTCGCAACAAGTTTAAAAGTCTTAAATCGGACTTTTTTAAAGCAAAACGAAACAATAATAAAAGCGGAGCTAAGCGGCAGACATCAGAGCACTTTGAGTTGCTGGACCAGATCTTGGGACATCGTCCAGTGTTGGAGGCAGAAGGAGTAGACGTTGCTGAAATGGATATTGAAAATATGGACGTTCTCACTGAATTTGGTGAAAGCACTGAACATACTGAAAAAGAAAAATCAAGTAATGGGTCTCAGGACGAATTGACTGAAGTGGAAGTTTCTGCCAGCAATAATAACTTGCGTAGTTTCAAACGAGCTAGTAAGTTTGTAGAAAGACAACAAGCTAAATTATGTATATACCTACTCAATAATTGGGTTTTTTCAGAGAAGCAGACTTACCAAAAAGTGGTTGAATCTTTTACAAAAGACTGGAAAGAATCACAGAAGGAATTACTTGAGACCATGAAGGAGCAGGATGAAAAATTGATAGATATACAGAGCAAAAAGCAAGAGGAAATTTTGGAAAAAAATATGAAAACAATGGAAAAGATTCTAGAAAATGATCGAGAGGAAAATGCTAAAATGCTGCAAGAATTTCTAAGCGCAATGCAACCAATGCAGCCGCACGTCTTCCAGGCACCAACACATTTCTATAGGGAGTCTCCATCATCCAGTGTTATTTGTGTACCATTGCCTAAAGGATCTTCAAAGACCAAAGATGAATCTGCTTAATTTTATGTACACTCAAATTTAATAATTACACTTTTGAATTCAATAAAATACAAGAAAAATTTTAAATTGCAAATGGTTTGCTGTACTGTAAGAAAAGTAAATTGAGGATAATAGTAACAGAAGCAATCCTTTATATTTAAAAATAAGCAAAATGTGCATGGTCGTTAATATTCAACTGTGCATAAGAAACTCCAAGAAAGAGCTTACAATTTTCGGCGCCGAATGAAAATCTTTTACACACACTTGTAGACAAGAGTCTACGCTTTATTAAAAAAAAAATGTCGGTTGAGTAATTTATTACTAATTTCGGTTTCAAGGAGGAGGTGGGATGACTTATCAAAAATCGTGGTCCATCCTCTTTCGTTTTGGGCGCCACGCCCACTCCCCTCCACCCCACACAAAAATCGCATTTTTACTTTTATTTTACTTAAATTATTTTACCAAAATATATGTATGTAGGTAATTAGTAGTATGTATTAGTAGTGGTATTAGCAGTATTAGTATTATTATTATTATATGTATTATTATTAATATTATTAGTATTATTGGTATTATTATTATTATCAGTATTAGTATTAGTAGTATTATTAGTAGTATTAGTTGCATTTAATAGTAGTATGTATGTAGTTAATAGCTCCTAATCATAATTCATATAAAAATTTCATGGACGGACAATTTTCTATTTCTGTAAACTTGTGTTATTCGGTTTTATTTAAAAATGTGATTTTCGCACTGGAAAATTATTTTTTAAAAAGTTTTTAATATTATCGCGCATTTGTTTCGGATCACTATTTTCCTCCCTAATGATTTCATTGGAAACTGCATCTTGTGGTTGGGGAAATTCGATTTCATTCTGCATGTCCGTGCACCAAGAGTCCAAAAAGCGCTGCTTTTCTGTTTCGACAAAGTTGTGTAATATTGAACACGCCAAAGCAACAAAAGGAATAAATCCTGGATCAACATCCATTCTTTTTGAGAGGCATCGCCAACGACCTTTTAGTCTACCGAATGCGTTTTCCACAACTATTCGCCCAGAACTAAGATAGCAGTTAAATGATTCTTCTTCGGGCTCCAGATGGCCAGTGTAAGGCTTCATAAGCCATGGAAGCAATGGGTAGGCAGGATCACCAATCAGCATCATGGGCGTTTGCATTCCATTGACGTCAGTGTAGTAATTTGGTATCATTTGCGATGAGTACTTGTAAAGTCCAGACTCCCTAAAGACAGTAGCGTCATGGGTGCTTCCTGGAAATTTTATACTCACATCACGGAATCTTGAAAAATACATTGGTTTTAATGTCACTGCAGTTTATTTTATTATTTTGGTGGATTAAGCTTACATGTAATTATTATCAACTACTGCTTGCATCACTATCGATGGCCATCCTTTTCTATTTACATAGTCTTGATAGCCATCGCTGGGGGGCAAAATCGGGATGTGTGTTCCTGAAAATTAAATTATTTTGTTCAATATCGGATTTTTCGCGGAAGTTTTTGATTACCATCAATTGCACCAATGATATTAGGTATATTGGTTATTTTTTGAAAGGCAATAGCGATTGTTTTGGCCTCCTCTAGCTTTGGAAAATATAAGTACTCCGCTCGAAGCTGCAGTATTGCGTTAATTACGAGGTGAAAGTACTTGTGTACCGTACTTTTATGCACCCCAAACACATCCCCAACAACACGGTACTCTGCACATGAAGCGATTTTATACAAGCATAGCGCGACTTGGTGTGAAATTGTCAAAGGTGGTGTCACAAATACCTCTGGACAAGGTAGATAGGGCGACAATTTTTTACAAAGCATGTTAAACGAATCTTTGCTCATGCGGAATGACTCAAGTTTTCGTTTCCTGATTGTTGTAGAAACCACAAGTAACTATCAAGTCGTACTCGACGATGAATGCTGCGAAATCGTGGAACGTTTACTCGAAAGAATATTTCGGGCAAGTCGCTTTGGAACGATGAGATACATTTCAATGAGCTTTTTCCATGGTACGAGTTCTGCAACACTTGGTGGTGGTAGTTAAAAAATTGTTGAAAAATAACTTTTCGTTTTCTCCGCATCCGCTCCATTAAATAATAAAATAAAAACTTGTGTGTATTGAATTCCATCTTTTTCTTATGAATGCTGCTTTTAAATTGAAAAACAGCTGATTTTTCACACGCTTTGAAAGTGTGTTCATTGAACACACTTATTTCGGTATGTATAAACGCTTGTAACACAAGTGTGATACATTGACACGAGTATATATGAAACCGTTTTAGGTGCCATATAAACAAGGTAATAGTCATCAACGTAGTGGTTGTTTTGTATTGCGTTAATTGCTCTCGGACGGCTGTTTGCAAATCGTTCAGCATTCAAGTTTTTCACAAATTGAGAAGTACAAGGAGAGCAGCCTGGTCCAAAAATCATTATGTTCATGGCGTAGATTTCCGGTTCAACCGAAACATCACACTCACGCCATACAAAACGTTGAGCGTGTTGATCTTCAGGGCGAATCAGCACTTGATGAAACATTTCTTGAGTATCTGCCGATATAGCGATAGTGTTTTGTCTAAAACGCTGTAAAACCGCAGGCAGAGATACAAGAATTTCAGGCCCTTTTGCCAAAAAAGTGTTGAGCGATACGCCGTGCGATTTAGCCGCAGTATCCCATACTACGCGTGATTTACTTGGTTTGTTTCTATTGAAAACCGCGAATGCCGGCAAATACCATATACGCTGTTGTGGTTTTGACTGATTTACCTACCTGTTAGCTTACGAATATATCCCTCTTCTAAATATTCAGCTATGGTATTATCAAAAACCGCCTTAAGACTTGGCTCCCGTTGGAGCTTTTTTTCTAAACACATAAATCGACTTTTTGCCATGCAGTAGCTATCCGGCAATTCAAATTTATCAAAACGCCACAGAAGGCTGCTTTCACAGTGACCATTGGCAGTTTGGCGGGTATTTTCTGGTAACACATTTAACGCACGCGCATCTTCTTTACTAGTGAGCGATTTTTGCGTAGCCGCAACGCCTAAGCTTTCAGAGGAGTAAAATTTCTTAAAGCCCAGTTAGTCAACGACGTAGCGTAAACGTAGGTTGACGTACGTAGCAGCATATCAAATTTACTGTTGATAGAGAGAGAGAGAAGCAACGGCAACGTCACCGCCATGCGGTGGTGTGTTTTCGTTAACACGCGAATCACATAAGTTAGATCGTGTCTGCGTCAACCTACGTCTACGCTACGTCGTTGACTGTTTGAGCTTTTAACGCGTAGCTTCCCTGCAGCAAATCAAACTGGTTCAGAACTTGCGCTGAGCTAGCCTGAAAAGGGACGGTACTGGTTCTTCATCTATCCCAACTCAATGCTTGCAACTGTCTTTTTTAACNCTGTTTCTGAGCTGACTCTGGCTTAGATGGTTCTGATACAGTTCATATAACAACAGTTCTTAGATAGTTCAAAAAGGGTCACCTCCGGGCTAGAAAAAATGTGGTTAGTTTTGAGCTGGTTCTAATAAGTATAGTATGGAGCCTTTTCTTTAAATAAGCACGCATACAATTTTGTAAATAAAAATACTTCATTATATGTTGTTTTGAACTAATTTACTTTTTGACGCAAACTGTGCTTTAAATTTAGGAACATAAAGTGTCAATTATTCCTTTATTTTCTAAAACCGTTATTCTTAAAAATAATTTATATTTGTTACGTATAATGGGTATTTCTGGGATACCTATAATTAAAAATCTGAACTAAGTCGTGTCAAAAAATGAGAAAAACGGTGATATATTGAATGATTATTTGTGATAACTCAGCGTTAAATTGCATTAAATTTATTGAAATGTAATACATAGACTTTCCGGCATCTCATAAGAAATATAGAATTTTGAATATTCACAATAGTTTTCATGTTAAATATTTTTCGTAATTTTTTTATTTAAGGATGGCTCAAAAGTATTATAACATAAACAAATAAATTCACGTTTCTAACTGTGTTGGAAATTTAGTAGAATTCTAGAAACTGTTATAAAAACTTCAATATTTTAAATCAGAGTTTATAAGTATGCAGTTCTATAGCCCATTAAATTTTAGTATAATTAATCGCGCTGATTTTTTATAACTCTTTTTACGCACGCTCTTGAAGGCATTCTCCTATTTAAATATTTTCGTTTATGATGCAAGATTACACTTTACTACACTAAAATTTTATGGACTACAAAACAGAATACTCGAAATATTTATAAAAAATATCTGATTAAAAATTTTAAATTTTGAAGACAGTTTTTAGAGTTCTATAAGTTTGCAGCACAGTTAGGAATTTGAATTTAAATGGTTTATGGAGTATGACATATAGTACTTAAATAAAAACTAAACGAAAAATATTGAAAATGAAGAACATTGGAAATTAAAAAAAAATCAATGCATAACTACACATTTCGGAGCTTAGTGATACATTTACGTATATACATTATCGTTCATATGAATAGCACTCCCATTTCAAAGTGAGATTGTTTACCACTTTTGAAAATTTTTTACATCTGATTAAAAGGTCAAACATTTTGACGAAAATCGTTAAATTTAACTTTGTTTTGTATAAAGTTTTAAAACACGGTTTATATGATTTTATTCGTATTTTATACGTACGTAGATATGTATAAAAATGACATTAATGCACCAATAACGACTTTTTTGGAAATATTTGAGCAGTTGCCCCATAAACTATGTAGAGAGTTACATATTAAATAAACGAAAATAGTTTGTTATTACTTTTAGGGTCTAAGAAAATCTAAAAAATATAGTATATTACATTTGTGCATTTTTTGTCAGCTTTCACATGACCAGGATGAGTAACATTGATGACAGCGCAACTAGCAACATATGAGTTTCAACCGTCCAACTCTGCATCCCTTTTTCAGTAGTTCAGAGACAGTTCTAAAATTTGTAGGGCGGAACTAGCGCTTTGCCAGACTGTCCCTAAATTTTGCTGCAGGGTTATCATCGTTTTCTTTAGAACACTCACACATACAGAAATGCCCATGTTCGCGCGTCACCAGAGCACCACCAACTGTTCCGTAGATGTGCCACCTAAGTAAAGTCTTTACCGCTAACGGTTCGTTCGGCCGTGCTTCCTTTATATTCTGAGTAAGGCCCAGTTTCCTATCCCAGTAGCTTGCTATCGGTAGATTTTTTGTGTGTTCATATTTTTCACTAATTTTGCTATAGTCGAGGCTCTGCATTGGAAGAGATAATTTATTTACCGTGTGTACATTAATATTTATTTTACGTTGATTTGGTCCGGCAATTTGTATATTTACTAGCTTGGAATCATTTTCAGTCCTCCGCATATCGCCTGTCCACTCCAAACATAGTGGTTCGCTCTTTCCACTTCGATTGAGTTTTTCGCGAATTTCGTGGTCCATTAAAGTGTTTGCGATCCTTCGTCAATAAATGCGTAGGTTATTATAGATTTATTGTCTTTCTCAAATATTGTAATCGGCTAAGTTCTAAGTAAGATATTTTGATCTTTTTCGCAATGAGAATATTAGCTGTTTGTATTTATTTTGACGTTGGTTACTTGCTCTTCTACTGCATGCATTGCTGGCTGTTTTTGCTGTCGCTCAACATTTCGCGCCCTCTTAAAGAAACGATTTAAAAGAGAGTGATGTTTGTTCATTAGGGTGGTCCAAAAATGTATGGGAGAAAAGTAAAATCGGAAATTTAATGCTCTCACCCCCTAGGATTGTTCTATACCGAAGAAAAGTATACCCCTGTTTTTTTATTTTAAAATCAAAATATATTTAGAGGTCGCTCAAAGCGCTCAAAGTTTCCCATGTATTTTGTATGGGAAAAAAAATACTTTTCGTAGAAATGGCATAGAATCCATGAAAATCAAAATTTTTCAACCTGAAAACACTGTTTCTCTTCAGAGGACTTCAGAGAATAATGCCCAATTGTTTATTTAAACATTTTTAAATTTTAACTATTTTTTCTTTTTTTCTTTTGTATATTTCTTTTTGTATATTTGATTTTTTTTGGGATTTTTCGGATACCCTTAAAAAATAGTTAAAATTAAAAAATGTTTAAATAAACAATTGGGCATTATTCTCTGAAGTCTTCTGAAGAGAAGCAGAACTTTCAGATTGAAAAATCTTGATTTTCATGGATTCTATGCCATTTCTACGAAAAGTCTTTTTTTCCCCATACAAAATACATGGGAAACTTTGAGCGCTTTGAGCGACCTCTAAATATATTTTGATTTTAAAATAAAAAAACAGGGGTATACTTTTTTTCGGTGTAGAACAATCCGAGGGGGTGAGAGCATTAAATTTCCGCTTTTACTTTTTTTGGACCACCCTATTGTTCATACAGCCATTCACTTCGCAACTTTTTTGACATTTTGTTTTATCAACATGTTTCCCGAGGCATTGCTTACAAAGGTTATGTTGTCTCACAATGTTCCATCGCATGGCGCGATCCATTCCAATGAACTTTTGACATTTCGCAACATTGCTGCAGTTCTGTTTTCATACACAACATTTACGTTGCTGTTCCACCTGAGAGTAAACATATGCCACTTTGTTTTTGCTGTATGATATTTGCAAATTTTGATGTATATTGACACTGCTTGCGGAGATACCGTACTCAAAAAACCAGTCCGAAAAAAGTGGTAAGATTAGGGATTTTTTTTTAATAAACCTAATTTATACGTACCCCAATTAAACTGAAGAGGTGGTGGTAGTTTTTCTATTATTTCTTGCACGAGAGAAGAGTTTTATAGTTCACTACGAAGGCCGGAAGCTTCTGTTGTAGCTCGTAA